ATGGATCTTTTCTTTTTTCAGACAATTTTCTGTAAACCCTACAGATGATTAATCATGAAAATCATAGTAGATCAGCAGTTTCTGAAATACTCCGACCAGCCAAGCTGGCACCGACAACCATGCCACGTTCAAAGTAACGTAAATCACCTTTCTTCCTCGTTCTGATGCTCAGTTTGAAGTGCAGCAGATGGTCTTGACCATGTCTAAATGCATTGAGTTGCTCCAGGTGATTGACTGATTGAATATTTGTGTTCATGAGCAGTTGGACATGTGTACCTAATAAAATGGCTGGTGAGTTTATATGTTAAACTTTATTCACATCCAATACTAACCATCAAATGAGAATAAAAAGTCATTTAGAGATAAATCTGATGGGTGCTGACACAGTCTGAGTCCTGCCTGCCGCAGTGCAGATCTATAAATTTAAACAACAGCCTGCAGTTTGTTCTGAAGCTCCTTTGCATGCTCTGATTTCAAAACTGGCTCATTTTTTTCTCCCACACACCAGGTTACACTTAACTTTGAACAATGTAACTTTTGGTTCTCAACTGGGATAATCTGATTTATTTAAATAAATCAGAGAAGTCACTAACATGACCTCTTTGTCACCAATCACAGTCTGCCACAGTGGCGTATCTCGCCCTAAAACTGTATCTCAGGACCCCTGAATAGGATTGCCACCTGTCCAGTAAAATACACAGTCGTCCTATATTTGGTCGTTAAATTGCGTCCCACATTGAACCGATACATAACTGTCTGATAGACACGCCTATAATAAACACATCAACACTAAGTTTAACAAGAATGGCTAAAATAAAGGACAGGAAATATTAAGGTCAGCTACATGGTCGTGGCTGGAGCTGAAGGACCTCTGAACTCTACGGACCAACGCTGAACCTCATGCTTCACGAGTTTCAGCGTTTCAGCGATAGCTCACAGTGCAGCAGCTGTGAGCTATCGTCCTGCATCTTTTTATATCGTCCTCTACCTGATTCCATGTCCGTTGAAGAAAATATGCTTTAAAAAATACAAACATGTGTGAAAAAACGGGCATTATAAGCTGAACAATTTCAGTGGGGATGGAAGTGAAACCAAAGAGTAGAATTCACTCAGGTTCAGATAGCAGTTAACTATCAACCAGTTAGATTTATTACAAAGTAATGGACTGAAACACATGCAACCTTGTCTTAACTCAGTCAGAGTTTACCTCAAAAACATCAACAAAACAAACAAACAAAAAAACAACATTCACTCCAAACGAGTGAAATACTCTCAGTAGGAAGTCTTATAAATTTGAAAATAGACACAAGTTATCTCTCGGAGAATCCATTCATGGTCCTTGGTAAGAAAAAAATAAAAGATGCTGGCCAGCAATAAAAAACAAATATTGTTGATATAGAGCTCTATATTTGTGTGTGTGATGCAAACGAAAAGATGGATGCTCGAGGTGGTTCTGACTGGGATGGAGACCCAGAATGAGATGGCAGTCAGCGTCCACAGACCTGGGAACTTAGCAGCTTCTCTCTCTTCCTCCGCAGGAACAAGAACAGATTCCTAATGAATCAGCCACAATAACAACGAAGCTCTAGCAGGAAAACTTATGAAAACATATATGAGGCATGAATAAGTCAGGTCATATGCAGAAGCTGGGCAGAAACTGGCATGTCTCAGTTCTGCAGCAGCTCTGAAACTTCTAAGCCCGGGAGTTTCCATAGCTACTGCAGTCAGAATGCTGCTGTAAAGTACTGCCGTAAAGTACTGCTGTAAAGTACTGCCGTAAAGTACTGCCGTAACGTAGTGCTGTAAAGTACTGCCGTAACGTACTGCTGTAAAGTACTGCCGTAAAGTACTGCTGTAAAGTACTGCCGTAAAGTACTGCTATAAAGTACTGCCGTACTTCGTTCTTAAAGGGACACAAATTAAAAGCAATAACACACACTACACAAATATAGCTGTTACAGAAACTGTGAACATTGATTGATATAAATATATATATAGAGGGGGCAGACTTGTATCATCAGCACTTCAATTCAAATGGCATTGCAATTTTAATTAGCAATGCAGTACTTAATTTAGAATTATTTTATATTTATGAATGAAAATTGTGTACAGTATTGGATTTATTTATTTGAAGATAATTTTGTAGTTTAGTGCAACATTGTGTATAGGCAAAAAAATATAATAAATAATGGGTTAGTCTGATCCTGGTTCTTATTGCTCTCACTTGAATAAAGTAAAACTAAAGAACAGTGCAGAGTGTTAGTCTGTGTCTGTGAACAGAAAGATGTTTGGTACTGAAACTATGATAGATGTGAACTGAAATAGTAAAACTCGACCCATAATGTTCACTTTTCCATAGATGGACAAACATTCTTATTTTTAAAAAAAAGGCCAAAAGTTGCATAATATTCTGACAGAAATAAGAGTAATGCAGTTTCGAAGTATGAATTTCAAATAAAGTTCTGGCTAATGACGAGTTTTCATGAGTCATTTACCTGAACTTCTACCTTGATAATAAAATGATTTTAGTAAAATCTTCTTTAAATAGTTTAGAGTGGATTTTATTTTATTTTCCAGGGGAGCAGACCACACTAGGACTGTGTCACTCCACATCTGCATGGATCTCATTAATGTTAGCAGATGTTGGCAGGTATGATGTAGTCTTGAGATTCTGTTTCAAACTGAGTACCTACACCTCTGGAAAATATTAAGTTTCTCTAATTTTACTCTTTATAAGTTTATGCTTATAAAGATATGCTTAATGCTTAAAATAAAATAAAATCCACTCTACGGCAGCATTCTGATTGAGTAAAATGAACATTGCTCTTTTATTCTCTTAATTTTGTTTGTGAATGTATGCAAATAAGCAGTTAGATTTATAAAACGCACAAACGAATATCTTCTCCTGGGTCTTAGCCCTTCTGGGGTCTAAGCACCCCTAAAGGTCAAATCCTAGAATCGCGCTGGTCTGCCACATCACAATACACAAAGACAAACTGAATTATCCAAATTCCGGGATTAAAATTGTTTAATATTTAAAAAATACTTCCAATTTTCCCTTCTTGGGACATAACTTTTACATGCTGCTATATTCATACTGTGTGGATTCCTATTGGTTTGTTAGTAACTGAAAAATGTAAAGTAGTACATGATGTCCTCAGTCCATCAATAAGTGGAAAGGGTACTTCATTACTCCAAATAGTATAACAAAAACAAGAGCAGCCTGTGTGGCACCCACAGTGTTCAACTGATACTGTCCATATTTGTGAGGAAACATAAAAAGAGAAATGTCACCTGTGGATGGAAATAAAGGTATCTGAGTCAGTTAATGAAATCCCAATGAGCTGCAGCTTCTTCAGCATTGAAGGGTTAGTCCAGATGTTTATGTGGAATGCAGATAAAACATCTGCATAAAATTGCTTTATAAGAATTTTTTCCACAACAAATTACAATGAACTTAAACAAAAGTGGTGAAATCCTCAAAGAGGGGGAAGTCTAACTACTAACCTGATAAAAAAAAAAATTGCTGTTATATTTTAAAGACCTTGTTTTCAGATTTTTGTAATCCCTAAAATGAACTGAAACTGGCCATACATTGGCAGAATGAGCTGTCCCATATTTTAAAGCTGCAGAATGTAACTTTTAGAAAAACATTTTTATACATATTTGTTGGAACTGTCACTATGTTGTGACAGTATGGTATGAAACAGATAATTTGTGAATTGTCAGGATAACAAATTTTGCATTGCCTCAAAAATTAGTCTGAAAAATAATATATTTTTTGAAGATCATTTTAAACTGATGTAATGGTAATGACATAATAATGCAACCCCATTCTGCCAAAAATAAATACACTTTATTTTCAAAAGAACATTTAACACTGGAAATGGTAAACTCAATAAACAAAACAACCGAAAACAAAAAAAGGACTCTCAGTGTCCATTTAACAAAAATTTACTTGAATAACAACTAAACACAACATCAAATAAAAACTACATTGAACCAAAAGAGTACAGAGATTAAAGTCTGTACAATATTGCCCTTCAATAATCATTAGATAGAGAAGATGGCCATATCAGACTCCTCAATCCTCCCTTACGCTAAGAAAAGGAGGAAGTGAAGGGTCAGTGGAGAGCACCAGAGTTTTTTATCCAGTGTCATCAATGCAAAGAGAAAAGGGCAGAAAGAAACCATAAAGCCGATCAATTAAAATGATGTTGATCATTTTAATTTATCATGCAATTTATTGTTTATCATGACTCATCATAGATCTAGTTCTTTCTGGTCTGGATTGGTGCATTTCTTCACATGGCAACAATAGTTACTCAGTGAGGAGGGGGAGGAGATCAGTTTATTCACAAATGATCTGTTGTCATAAGATAGTGTTACGATATGGTGAGAGTTTTAATAAATATGTATGTTTTCCATAAAAGTTATGTAACTGCACCTTTAAGAGACTTTCTAACTTCTCTCCTAAAATCGCTCACATTAGTTGGCTAAAGTTTGATTGAGGCTGTCTGTTGTATGAATCCGCACAGTTAGCTAATAGTGAGTAAATACATAAAGATCATTTCCTAGAAGTTGGAAAAAAAACAGAGTTGATGCTGAAACACCACAGATAGCCTTTACCAAAACCCAGAGTAACTTTAACTGTGCTTGGCCTTGATTTGGAATATTTCTAAAGAATGTTAAGTTTATGCTATCTTTGTTTTCAAATTTTGTTTTGGTTATATCTATATCAAAAAATCCTATAGTCCTATAACTACAGATAAAAACATTCTTGTCATCTCTAGTTATTTATTTATTGTTTTTGGGAACCTCTAAAATACTGTGTTAGCATTACATCCATTAATAAAAAAAACAGGGGCGTATAATTCTGTGTAAAACTAACACAGTTTTATTGGACATGCTACTAACAAAAAGATGGAGGACAAGGTGGAAAAAACTGACGCAGGTGTATTTTTTGGTTATCAATCTATGTGCCTAGACAACAGTATCAATCCACAACTTTAGCTAAAAACTTTTTACTTTCTTTGAATGTTAAACAGCAAACTTAGCAGGCCTCTAGTGGGAACATGTTGTTGAATCCCACAAATCTAACTATTTCTAGTTTCAGTTGCTCTAAATAGTTACAGATCTGTCTGACTAGCTGTTAGCCTTCCATCCCTCTTACAATTTCCTCACTTTTATCCAACTCTTTGCAATATGAAATCTGTCTGCTAGAGGTGAGATAATATAACAGAATCTAAATTCAAAACATCCAAACTGTTACTTTCAAGATGAAACAGGCCAGCCCGTTTCTCTGACAAAGTTTCTGGATCATAGCTCTTTTGTTTTGGTTTAATGTTCTGTTCTCAACCCTGCAGTTTTCAGCTTTCTGTGTGCAAAAGCATCACTCAGAAGGGCTTAACAGGTTTCATTGGAAACACAGGATGGAAGAAAACAGAAATCAACCCACCTGGGTGCCACAAATGGCAGAACCCAGGATTTGTCACAGTAAGTCAGGTAGAAACCGAGTCCAGCTCCAGCCACTGTTACCGCTGCTTCTTCTTCTGCTTCAGAGACTTCCTCCTCTTCATGATCATCTCATACAGCTTGTCCATGCCCTCGTGAAGCCCCTCTCCTATGATGGCGCACGCGGGTTGAACGTGGTAGGTGGTGGAGGGCGCCAGCTCGTGCAGGGCCAGCTGCTTCTCGATGTCAGCCACTGGCAGGGACTTCGGCAGGTCCTGCTTGTTGGCGATGACCAGCAGAGGTGTGCCCTGGTTCTCCGTGAACTTCGTGACCTTATGCAGCTCGGTCTTGGCCTCCTCCAGCCGGTCCACGTCCACCGAGTCCACCACGTAGATGATGCCGTCTGTGCAGCGGCTGTAGGACTTCCACAGGGGCCGCAGCTCTCCTGTCCCCCCACGTCCCAAAAGTGACAGCTGATGCCCTTCGCTGTGCCGTTACTCAGCCTGATCTTCTCCGTGTTGAAACCGATTGTGGGGACTGTGTTGACGAATTCATTAAATTTCAATCTATAAAGAACTGTGGTCTTACCGGCAGAGTCCAAACCCAGCATGACGATGTGAAGCGACTGGAAGGCAGATATGTTGGAGAAGCTGTTCCCCATTTTGATGCACCCTGCACCCCCTCCCACGCAGGAGGATTGGATCCACCCTCCCCCAAAACTGGAAATGAAGGTTCTGCAGCTCAGACTCGTTAATTCCCGGGTTGAGGTCGTAAAATTCCGCAGGTCGACAAACAGTGAGGGGCTTGATGGGCTGCGCTTGGCTCTTGGGAGCAGCAATGGAAAAGGAAGCGGCGTGCCTCCGCAGGACGCAACGCGCCGTTTATAAGTATTCCCCTCACGCACTTGCATCCATTTGATGACGAGGAAAACTCCACAGTTCAAACACTCCTTACAAATGCCACAGCTTTGAAAGACAATCACAAAATATATCTGTGATTCCCGAGATGTCAGCTAATATTTCCCAGAGGTGATCGTTATTAAGCATGAGGAAATCACACAGATCCAGCGGTCCAATAGCAACACAATTCCCTGCTGCTGCCTCGTCCTTCGTCGGCTCCGAGTCAGATATTCAACCCCTCCTCTCCAGTCGCTGCTGCAGCCGTTCTGATGTGAGGCTGACAGAACATCAGAGACAGTCCTCGATACGCTCCACCCCTGCAGGACAGACACGTGCTGATGAGGCAGCATGCGAGCGCCTCACGAGCCTCCGATTAACCACAGAAGTCCCCAAACGTCTCACGTCTAAGTCATTCCTAGAACCCGACTGAACTGCCCGTGCAGAGGGGGGGGGGGGGGGGGGGTGCTTGATAGCCTGCCCCTTTTATCCTTGATGCCCCCCCCCTTTTTTAAATCATATCTTTATTGTTTCCCAAGAAAGCCCCTCTACATCACAGTGGGCATTTACATCTCCAAATTAACTTTGCAATAAGATATACAAGTAAACCATTGCCTCACAACAGTAACATCAAAGTGTAACTGCCCTTCCCTGAGAGGGATTTTAAAGTGATTACAAAGAGAGAAAGAGTAAAAAATAAATAAATAAATAAAAAACATACAAAAGTAAAAATGATCTACGCAGTATAGCTATCGTTGGAGAATGGATTGGTAAGAACGTCCATCAGGTCTTTAAAGATAAAATCAGGTCTCTTAGGCTGTACATAGTTCATCCAGATCTGCCACCAGTAATCAAATTGTTCAGTCCTGTGACTGAGAGAGGCTGTTATTTTTTCCATTTTATATATATTAAATGTTATATCCATCCAGTCATTTAAAGTAGGTTTCTCGTGTGATAACCATTTTTTTGTAATATTTTTTTTTACTTGTTAACAATGTAGCCATCAAATATTTGTTTCTTTTTGTGGCTTCCAGTGGCGGAGCCAGAGGGGTGGCCGGGGTGGCACTTGCCACCCCCAACAGACCCCTGGCCACCCCTACTGCCACCCCACTGGAAATTGTCATTTTAAAATATAATACTTATGAGATCGGCAAAGATTTGCCAGAAAAACTAATTTCCGACTGTCCCTGAAGGCAGCCCGATGCCCGACGCTGTTCATTTTAAACTGACATGTTGGTTCCTGCTTGATCCAAAACACATCAACGGCTTTAGAGTTACACCATGGAGGAGTTCTGCAGGTATTAACATTTTACGCTCAGCAGTAACCGCTGTTTCCTTCCTAATGAGAGGCGGCTCTTGTCCTACATTTCTAAAAGAAAAATAAATGGTTGTGCCTGGTTTATTATATTAGCCATGCTAGTGCTGATAGATCGTGTTTTAAACAGATTCTTTTAACACATGTTTTAGTGACATGCTGCCCTCTAATGTTTTATATCTCCCAGCTCTTGCTTGAAATGTGTGGTAAGAATATGTGAAAAACCATTAAGTTTTATAATGACTGAAATGTAAGTAGGCTATGTCATGAAAGCTTTGAATTATAACCTAACTAGTTATATTAATTAATTTTAATTAATCTATTTTTAATTTAGTATTTTAGCTAGCTACAGAAAACTAAAAACTATAGTTTAAATAATAGTTAAAATAGTGTCTCTGCCAAACAGTCATGGAGTCTAAATACCAGGCTCTTATTTTGTGTAGAGCCCAAATGAAGAGAGAAGGGAATATCTCCCAGTTCTTCTTAAAGAGGCAAAAACCAGGACCAGACAGAACCCTGCAGCAGTGACCAGGACCAGACAGAACCCTGCAGCAGTGACCAGGACCAGACAGAACCTTGCAGCAGTGACCAGGACCAGACAGAACCCTGCAGCAGTGACCAGGACCAAACAGAACCCTGCAGCAGTGACCAGGACCAGACAGAACCCTGCAGCAGTGACCAGGACCAAACAGAACCCTGCAGCAGTGACCAGGACCAAACAGAACCCTGCAGCAGTGACCAGGACCAGACAGAACCCTGCAGCAGTGACCAGGACCAGACAGAACCTTGCAGCAGTGACCAGGACCAGACAGAACCTTGCAGCAGTGACCAGGACCAGACAGAACCTTGCAGCAGTGACCAGGACCAAACAGAACCCTGCAGCAGTGACCAGGACCAGACAGAACCCTGCAGCAGTGACCAGGACCAAACAGAACCCTGCAGCAGTGACCAGGACCAAACAGAACCCTGCAGCAGTGACCAGGACCAGACAGAACCCTGCAGCAGTGACCAGGACCAGACAGAACCCTGCAGCAGTGACCAGGACCAGACAGAACCCTGCAGCAGTGACCAGGACCAGACAGAACCCTGCAGCAGTGACCAGGACCAGACAGAACCCTGCAGCAGTGACCAGGACCAGACAGAACCCTGCAGCAGTGACCAGGACCAGACAGAACCTTGCAGCAGTGACCAGGACCAGACAGAACCTTGCAGCAGAGACCAGGACCAGACAGAATCCTGCAGCAGTGACCAGGACCAGACAGAACCCTGCAGCAGTGACCAGGACCAGACAGAACCCTGCAGCAGTGACCAGGACCAGACAGAACCCTGCAGCAGTGACCAGGACCAGACAGAACCCTGCAGCAGTGACCAGGACCAGACAGAACCCTGCAGCAGTGACCAGGACCAGACAGAACCCTGCAGCAGTGACCAGGACCAGACAGAACCTTGCAGCAGTGACCAGGACCAGACAGAACCTTGCTGCAGTGACCAGGACCAGACAGAACCCTGCAGCAGTGACCAGGACCAGACAGAACCCTGCAGCAGTGACCAGGACCAGACAGAACCCTGCAGCAGTGACCAGGACCAGACAGAACCCTGCAGCAGTGACTAGGACCAGACGAACCCTGCAGCAGTGACCAGGACCAGACAGAACCTTGCAGCAGTGACCAGGACCAGACAGAACCTTGCAGCAGTGACCAGGACCAAACAGAATCCTGCAGCAGTGACCAGGACCAGACAGAACCCTGCAGCAGTGACCAGGACCAGACAGAACCCTGCAGCAGTGACCAGGACCAGACAGAACCTTGCAGCAGTGACCAGGACCAGACAGAACCTTGCAGCAGTGACCAGGACCAGACAGAACCCTGCAGCAGTGACCAGGACCAGACAGAACCCTGCAGCAGTGACCAGGACCAGACAGAACCCTGCAGCAGTGACCAACCTGGAGAATCCAGCCAGGAGACTCCAGGCCCAAGTGGATCACCAGCGGGTTAGAGGCTGACAGAGAGTTATTAAGTATTAAAATCCAATAAGCCTAATTCTAAAGGTTAGCATGATGCTTTTTGCATTTTTTATTGTGTCTGTTTATGCATTTCCAATGAAGTTCCAGAGAGAGATGAGGGTGATACAGATTCAGAGTCAGACTCTGGGGAGGAAGACAGTGAAGCAGAAGGAAATGGCACTGAACTGCCCCCACCCAGCACAACCTATTGCACACCAGAAGCACCAGTTTATTTATTTATTTACTTTTGAGAATTTATTTTTGGTGATATTCTGGGCTCTGAGTTTACATTTACATGTTCACTGTTCCATAGTGCCGTTTAACGTCTTGTTTGGTCATGGCAAATCTTTGTTAAATAAACCATTTTAATTTGAGTGTGTGTGAGAAAATATTTGTTTCCTTTTGTTCATCATTTGTATATGGACCCTCTGATGAAGCCTTGCTCACCCTTTGGCCACCCCTTGAAAAAAAAGTCTAGCTCCGCCACTGTTCTTGTTGGGGGGTACTTGGATCAGTCTTGGTTTGTGGCAGCTTGGCTAAAATATTTGAAATTTTGAGCCAAACGTATGTCAACAGTGTCACCTCTGACTTTGTTGTGCTGCCACACCTCCACTCTTGGCACTTTAAAGCAAGTCAGACCAACTTATCTGTCTCTTGACGACATAAGATCATCTCAATTACATCAAGGGCATCGAAGATGGAGACTTCCAAGGAAAAAAAAGTCACTTCCTTTTCTAAGGGAGCTCAGTAGAGGATTGTTGAGCTTCCAAAAAATGATTCATTTACAAAGGCAACTCAACCTTTGTATGTGAAAGTTATGGCATGTCGTTTGCCTCGGCTACTACACAAAGTTCTCAAGTTGGCCTAAACATGCTCACAAACTCATGATTTTGATAACGTTTAATACCTCCTTGTCTTAACTGCATGTTGACCAAATATAAAGCCAATAGATTTATATTATGTTTACTAAAGTTTGAGGTGTGTACACATGAACATATATCATAATTAAATTGACCCAAAATGGCTGCCTCCCTGTACATTTTACAGCATACGACTAGGAGACTTTATTTTTTCTTGATTCCCATGGATCTACATTCGTACCAAGTTTCCGATCTTGATGACACACAGTTTGTCTTCTGTCAGAATAGGAACGTAGTGTAGAGGATCTTGGCCATGCCCACTGGCAATTGCATTAACTCATTTAATTACATGCAACATGAGGACAAGTTTTTGAATATGTTTCAGCCTCTAAATTTACAATTTTCAGTGGAAAATGATAATAATAATATAAAGACAAACAAGTTATTTGCAGCTTTGGCCTAAAAATACGTCAGGCCTTCAGTATTCTGGGGCTGTCACCATTTTTTAAAATGATTTTTTATGTCCTCTATTTAACCAGGTAAACCTCGTTGAGATCTGGATCTCATTTTCAACAGGGACCTGACTTTCATCTGGACCTCCAGCCTTGTTCTTGCTCTCTAACTGCCTCTTCACCTGACTTTGAGGTACAGAAAAGTGGGAGGAGGAATCAAAGGGGACAACACCATGTCCTGATTTGGTTGAAGTCAAACTTGTGGAAACAGCCGTCCATGACTGAGGTGGAAGGCAGGACATCTGTAGTTTGACAGGAAATCTGTGGATCACAGAAAGGTGGGATGTCTGTATGGTAGAGGGCAGGACATGATGATGATGATGATGATGATGATGAGTTTGTTCCTGAACTCAATGTGTTGAAGAATGTCTTCAGCTCATTTGCTCCATCTATGTCCTCCTTTTTGCGGTAATCTTGTTCATCTCTGACCACACATTTCTGCAATTTAATCTCCAACTTTGTTTGTTTGCAAAGTAAAGTACATCATATATTTTGTATAACTGTAGGAACAAGTGGTAATGACAGATAGACCAATCCCAATATGCATAAAATATAGTATAATTCATTTTCCCTTTAGTATGCTTCCGAAAAATGTTGTATTTTTGAAATTTTTATTGTATTACATTTGTAATTGAACCAAATACAAACTTCAAGAACAAAATATAAGAAATAAAGAACCA